AACAGTGCCACCCGTCACAGTATAGGTTTGATTCTGAAAATTGGTGCTGTTGACACAAATTTAGATGAAGGAAATGTTTGCGAGAGCAAAAGAAGAGCACCTGTTTAAGGGACAGTGCAAAGTTGAGTGATAACAGTTGGAGTGAAAGCTGAAATCGAATGTGTTCTGTGGTGTGTGCAGAGACTGTGTGGTTCTGATACATAGGTCTGATACGTAGGTCTGTGCTGTTTTTAATTCTAGCTTTGATTTCCTCCCTCTTTCTGTTATCAACACCAATTAGTGTGCCTTTTGAAACAGAATTGGGAGGAATGTGTTTATCCTTTCAGAGGTGGAATAGATATTTAACATCATCATTCTAAAATAGTCATTATTTTTACCTTGTGCGGTATACTGTATTACCATCTTACCGCCCAACCCTAAAATATATCTTTGCTTACTGTGGCCAAAAATTCTATTTTAACTTTATCAGTCTGTAGGACTTATTTCCAAAATGCATCAGGTTTGTTTAGATGTTCCTTTGCGATCTTCTGATGCTGAATTCTGTGTTGAGGGTGCAGGAAAGATTTTCTGCTGATTTACTCTTCCATGAAGATCATATTTGTGCGGATGTCACTGTTCAGTAGAAAAGTGCACCACCACTCTGGAGTCTGTTAAATTTTCTGAAAGTCTTCTGCAGTCAAATGAGGGTTTTAATTCTTTTAATCTTGGTAAGTTTTGTTGGTCTTCCAGACCTGGGCTACAGAATTCTCTCCACAATTTTAATTCATTATTCTAATGTAATTGATAAGAGGCCTCTGGGCCTGTGGATGAGAGCTCATGTCCCATTTTACTCTTTCAACATGAAATGGCTCATATTTGGCGTTGCCTCAGGGATTTCATTGCAGTTTCTTTTCATTGCTGGCCTGAGTTCAGAAGTTAAAACATCCTGGGCATTAGCCTCCAAATTACCATTTAAATATTATAATTCTTATTCTAAGCAGGGTGGGTCTTGGCATTTTGTGTTAGTGATATAATGCTGGGACCTGACCTCAGAGCTCCTTTGCCTGGATGTTGCCTGGATGTTAGGCCTTTCATTTTAACATTACTATGCCTGTCTTAAAGTTTGGTTGATTGTTAGTGGGCTAATGACCTGAGCCTTAGAAAACTAATCCTAGACTTTAGTCTTTCATAGCTAAACGAGAGAAGCTTGAGAACAAGGCCCTGGGCCTGGGCTTCAGAGAACCCAACTATAATAATAATAATAATAATAATAATACTTTTATTTATATAGCACTCTTCATGCTGGTGGCAGCTCAAAGTGCTTTACAGACAGGTGATAAAATATAGTTATAGAAGAGATCATTAGTATTTAATTAGAATCAGAAGAAAATGAAGATTAAATTACAAGATAAACACCACGAGGCATTCAGTTTTAGTTAAACGCTAATTTAAAGAGATACGTTTTTAGGTGCTTCTTAAAAGTGAGCACTGAGCTTGACTGTCTAATAAAAGGTGGAATTGAGTTCCACAGTTAAGAAGCATAATAACTGAAAGAGGCCTCTCCATGTGTTCTGTGTTTTACAGAGGATATTTGTAGAAGGCCACTATCTGCAGATCTTAGATTACGTGCCGGAACATAAACAGACAGACACTCTGTGATGTAAGCAGGTGCTAGGTTGTTTTGAGCTTTAAAAACTAGTAGCAGAACCTTGAAATCTATCCTGAATGACACAGGCAGCCAGTGCAGTTCTTTCAAAACAGGAGTGATATCTCTCTTTTTTGTTTTTGTTAGAATGCACGCTGCTGCATTTTGTACGAGTTGTAAGGGATGTATAGTTTTCTTAGGAAGTCCAGTAAGAAGAGCATTATAGTAGTTAAGTCTGCTTGTAACAAATGCATGAACAAGTTTCTCTGTGTCGCTCTGAGATAGAAAAGGCCAAACTTCAGTGATATTTCTTAAATGATAAAAAGCTACTTTAGTGACCGTGTTTACATGCAGGGTAAAACAGAACTCAGAGTCTAAGATCACACCCAAGTTTCATACTTCAGGTCTGGTAGATGAAGCTAAAGAACCAAGTTTCTCAAAAATCATTTTTCTTTGAGTTTCTGTACCAACGATCAGTAATTCAGTTTTTTCATGATTTAATTGTTGAAAATTTTGCAACATCCACTGAGAAATATCTGACACACAGCTGGTTAGTCTGTCTACAGAGTCTTGATCTTCAGAAGGAATAGAAATGTATAGCTGGGTGTCATCAGCATAGCTATGAAAATGTATACTATGCTTGCTAATAACATCACCTAGGGGTAGCATGTACAAAGAGAAAAGCAAAGGCCCTAAGACTGAACCTTGGGGGACTCCACAAGAAACAGCAAATCATTTTGATGAATGATTTCCAAGTGAAACCATGAACTGCCTATTACTTAAATATGATTTAAACCATTCTAAAACGGCCCGAGAGGCCGACCCAGCATTCAAGACGCTGGAGTAAAATCTTGTGGTCAACAGTATCAAAGGCTGCACTAAGATCTAATAAAACCAAAATAGAAGGATTTTGTGCATCAGTGCTGAGCCTGAGGTCATTCATAACGCGAGTCAATGCTGTCTCTGTACTATGGTTAGAACGAAAACCTGACAAACTTCTCATATAAATTGTTTGATATTAGATACGTATTTAGTTTTTGAAAACAACTTTTTCTAAGACTTTACTTAGAAAAGGTAGGTTTGAAATTGGTCTAAAATTATTTAGTATGGAAGGATCCATGCTACTCTTTTTTAGCAGAGGCTTCACCAGGGCAGTTTTGAAAGCATCTGGAAAAACACCTGTTGACAGAGAACAATTTACAATAGTTAAAACATCATTGTGCACACAATCAAAAACCATCTTAAGGAATGAAGTAGGAACAGGGTCAAGATCACATGTGGATGAACTTTGAGTTTGTTTGAAATAGTTGTGAGCTCCTCATAGTTGATAACAGAAGAAGATGTCATTACTGATGTAGGTGGCTTATCAGGAACGTTATAGGAGCTTGTTTGAGTCTGCTGAGCTACACCCTGTCGCATCAGGTCTGTTTTATTTTGGAAGTGAATTGCGAACAGATTTTAGAAGATAAATCATCATTAAATGCACTAGCAGACAAGTTAGGGTTAATTAGTTGGTCTATGGTGGAAAAAAGGATTTTGGTATTATTTTTGTGTCTATTCATTACACTAGAGAGAAATAACTGTCTGGATATTTTCATAGCATTATTATAGACTGAGATCTGCTCTTTGAGAATATCATAGTGTATCTGCAGTTTAGTTTTCCTCTCTGGGGATTTACGACAATTTCTCTTAAGCTGGCGTATTTCCGCATTCATCCATGGATTTTTAAGAGTACGCAAGCTTTTCTTTTTATCCCTTTTTGTTGGGGCGAGAAGGTCAAGGCTTTCTAGCACTTAGATTGGAGACTAGATCATTACAGGATGGAATCGTATCTATATTTGCTGAACTATTATAAACAGTTCTCTACTTTTCTACTGTTTCTGAGTCAATGTAACATTTTTTTAAAGTAACTTTCAGGTAGTCCTTTACTTCTAAATTGATTTGAAAGAAAATACTGAAGTGATTTGATAAGAAAACATCCGAGATTTGAGACAACTTTGTGTTTAAACCTTTAGTGATGACCAGATCCAGGATATGACCTAGCTTGTGGGTAGAGCTGCCCACTTGCTGCTTCAAATCAAATGTCTCTAGAAGTTTAATGAATTCTAATGAATTATTATCTGAAGGACCGGACCATCGATATGTAAGTTAAAGTCCCCAGACAGAAGAATCTTCTCGTAGTTTGTGGACGCTACTGATAATAATTCCACAATTTGACATAAATTTACTATTTTGCTTTGGAAGTCTGTATATTATGTAAATTATTAACACAGGTGTATCGTTAAAAAAGTTGACCTACTCAAAAGACATGAATTCACCAGTAGAGATACTTTTGCAGATAAAGTCACTATTATAAATGCAGGCCACTCCTCCTCCTCGTCTGCCCTATCTTACTGTATGCATAAATCTGTACTTTTCAGGAGCAGCTTCAAGTAGAGCTGCTGTGCCATTATCACTAAGCCATGTTTCTGACAGAAACATAAAATCTAGCTTATGCTCCTTAATAGGATCTTGAATCAGCAGGGTTTTGTTATTTAGTGACCTTACATTGAGTAGAGCAAGGTTTAATTTTCTGCTAGTTACACTATGTGTTTGGTCTTTTTAAGGTCTATGTAAATTAAATTATCAGGGTTTTGACCGTGCACATTTTTCTTTGATTTTTTAATTACACAGGGTTTGATAACTCTAATGACGTTTTTGGAGCAAAATCTCCCTACACAACTAGTTTTAGTGTTAAGACAGCAGAAACAGAGAGGAATGGTAGCAATTAAGGGGACATTGTCTATATCATTAAAGGCACTTACCTGTCTGCTGGTGATACTACTTACCCATCCGTTGTCTACTACAGTTAAGTCCAGTCAGGCCTGGTGTAGTACTTTCTCGATATTCCCGGATAAGATAACAGACCTGCGGCGGCCCGGGTGTAGTCCGTCCCTGCGGTAGAATGCCGCTCGCTCCCAGAAAACACTCCAGTTGCTCATGAAGCCGACACCGTTGTTCTTACACCAGCCTTGGAGCCAGCAGTGCAGTGCTTAGGGCCTTCTGAACACCTCGCTTCCTCTCCGGTAGGTGTTCAGCGGTCCCGAGATGACAACCCTGGCCTTGGTTCTCTTCTTAATGTTGTCTAGAAGTAATCTAAAATGTTCCTTGAGGACTTTGCTCTGATGGGATGAGATGTCATTCACCCCTGCGTGAACTACTACGGTGCTGACGTCACCGTATTTGCTCAGAGCCACGGGAAACCGCTTGGAAATATCCAAGACCCGGGCACCTGGAAAACAATAGACAGCCGAATTACTTTCAGAGCAAGTTGCTTTAAGATGTCTCACTATTGAATCTCCAATTATAATAACACTCTCCTGACTCTCTTTCCGAGGCACTGAAGCAGGCAACAAGCTGAGGGCTTCGAACTGGTTACCGGAGGTGAAACTCGGCGGGGGGAGGAATTGGTGAAAACCTTCTCTTTCCCCGGCCACGCTGGCGTTCCCAGCCCTGCTCTGGCACGGGCATGAAGACGGGCAATCCTGGTGTTAAACGTGGCAGTAGCGCTCCATCCGGCAGAGTAGAAGTCGCCACCGGGCTTGGTCTTGAAACAGCTGTGTAGGACGCGTCCCGGGCTGCTTCCAAATGGGTTTTCCACTCGTGGAGCTCGGTCTGCTGCTTTAGGAGAGCCCTGATCTGCTGATCCAACTGCAGCATCCTGCTCAGCGTCCGGAGCTCACGTTAAGTGGCGGCCGCCGTTTTGTCAGCGTCCAAACAGAGAAATAAAGGTTAGTTAAAACTGAAAACAAAAATCAATGTTGTAAGGGTAACACAGCAAGACACAAAATAAGTATTTAGTTAAAGCAGGTAACCAGAAGGGTTAATAGCAAGATAAAAGAGCAAAAAATAACAATCAGTAAACGAGCAAACCCAAACGTGCGAAATGTACGACCTGTTCAGTCAAAAATGGCGTCAACTAAACTAAATTTCTTGGTACTGTTCTAAGAATTTTATGTTAGGGACATGATGTTAGGTGTTGGCACCTGTACTTGTTTTTTCATTGGCTTTAGTAATTTCATTGCAATTTCTTATCAACCATGGAGACTAGTCAGGGATTTATTATATCCTCTATCCTTAATTGTAGTTTTAATTCCTGGGCCTTGGACCTTTGCCTCAGAATCATGGCCCAGATTTCATTCTTTTAAGGCAAAATGGCAGGGTTTTCAGTATATGACCCTTGGCCTGGGCCTGTGTTGTGTATTAGAGAGTGGGCCCATGACCTTTGGCTCAAAGTACAGTTTAAAAAATTTTTAAGCCTAAAAGTCTGGGTCATGGTTACTAGGTCTTCTCTCAACAATTTAATTCCCTATTCTATTGTAATATGATAGAGGCTTCTGGGCCTGTGTTTAAGAGCTTATGTCCCATCTTACTCTTTCAAAATGAAAGCAGTTTCTTTTCGTCAGTGGCCTTCATTCAGAAGTGCAGTTATAAGACCCTGGTCTTTAGCCTCCAAATTACCATTCAAATATTAAAGTTCCTATTCTAAGAGGTCGGGCCTTATTTTAAGGGATTTTGTGATAGTGATGATGGAGATTTTGAATAAATATTCCCTCAATCAGTAATCAAATATATTAGCTATTGTAATCATTAATCAAATAGGTAGTATTGGCTTACAGATAATATTAATTCTCTCACAGAGGGTAGGCCTTTGTCTGTCTGCATAGGAGATTCTAGACACTGGAAAGCCCCTGGGTCCACAAACAGGCCTGTGTGTACTTACTGACCCAGAGAACAGAGGGACAAGTTGACCTTGAAAGGTAAAGCAGACTGGTAAAAATTGGTTGAAACTAATTTTTAGGAGTAAGCGCAACAAGCGATGGCCAAATTGATGGATGTAGAGTTGCACCTATTAGAGAACAAGCTAATATCAAAATTTGAGAAGTAAGGTGGGGGGATATCAAATTACCCCACATAAATGGTATATAAACAGTTGTTTGGAACATTGTTTGCGCAGTTGCTATGCCATCTGATGCTGAACTAGAGAAGAAGCCTTTTTCCCCTCTTTCCACAAACTCAGCGTCTGAAGACTCTTTCTTTTTTTGACATCTTTTGAGAACTTAGAGCAGTTATTAAAGAAAGTGTTAAGCCAGTATTAAAACATTTCTTTTTTATTCATAATATTTTGTTGGAGGGGATAGCCCTTGGTCCCCACAGTGATATGATGCTGGGACCTGGTCTCAGAGCTCTTATTCCATATTTTATTCTTTAGAGTCCAAATGGCTGGCCCATGCAACTGGATCTTTGCCTGGGTTTTAGGTCTTTCATTTCAACATTATTGTCCCTGTCTTAAGGTTTGGTTCATTGTTATTGGGCTACAGACCAGAGGCTTAGAAGTCAAATCCTAAACTTTAATCTTTCATAGCTAAATGGGAGAAGCTTGAGAACAAGACCCTGGCCCTTGGCTTAGGAGAAGCCAACAAATTTTTTTGTACTATTCTAAGGATTGTATGTTGGGGAACATGATGTTAGGCCTTGGCTCCTGTTCAAATTTTTAATCTTCGGACGCTAAATGTTCGGGTCATGGGTACTTGTTAGTTTCCTAGACTTTAGTAATTTCATTGCAATTTCTTATCAACCGTGGAGACTAGTGATCAGGGATTTATTATATTCTCTATCCTTAAGTGTTGGTTTTAGTTCTTGGACCCTTGGCCTTTGCCTCAGAATCATGTCCCAGATTTTATTCTTTTGAGGCAAAATGGCAGGGTATTGAGTATAAGGCCTGAGAGCTCCCATTCTACATTTTATTGTTTACTCTCTAAATGACTGGGTCATAGGTAGCAGATCCTTGCTTGGGTCTCAGAGCTGCATTCACAATTTCTTTTCAACCATCTGAAGAGGTTGGGATTTTGGTTCAAAGACCCAATGACTCCAAGCTCCCTTTCCAATATTATAGGGTTAAGGGTTATGTATTAGATAGTGGTTGCATGACTTTTCTCTGAAGCCTAGGCCCAGGGTCTTGTTCTCAAGCTTCTCTTGTTTAGCTATGACAGATTAAAGTCTAGGATTTGTGTTGTAAGGCTCTGGTCTGTAGCTCCCTACCAATGAAGCAAACCTTAAAACAGGGACAATAATCTTGAAATGAAAGAACTAACACCTAGGCAAAGTTCCGGTAGCAAGAGCCAGCCATTTGGACTGTAAAGAATAAAATTTGGAGTAGGAGCTCTGAGGCCAGGAAAAAAATGTAACTCATCACACATGAATTTATCTAGCCTCACTAAAATGCTGAGTAGTTATGTTAGCCATGTTAATTTGGTTTTGTACAGAGAATATTTAGCCATATGGCAATTTAAATTTACCTCATCCTGTGATGGTTGTTCGGTTGATGGGAGGAAACCTGATTTTTTTTTTCCTTTTTTACATCATTTGACTCATTTGACTTATTAGTGAATTGTCCAGCACTGTATTCTTTTTATTTTTTTTTAAGTGCTCCTGCTTTTTTCACATGCATTTATTCTGTCCTTTTCACTGAACTGCTCTGCCACCTGAGAAGTTCGGTAGATTGGTGTGGGGGGACCAAAGTCAGAAGCCCCATTCTCAAAAGGCTGAGACTGAGAATGAAATGAAAGATTTAAAGGCATGAAGAAATACACGATACCTATAAAAAGACATCGTAAATGTTAAATTTGCTTTATAGGTCTTAAACATTAAATATTGAATGAAATAGTAAATACTATTTACTATTTCATTTAATATTTAATGTTTAAGAAGTGTTTAATGTTTAAGAAATGTTTAAGTTTATACAATTGTATTGAGTTATTGACAAAGGAATAATTCCAAAGTTATAAAGAAGAAAAATAGTAAAAATTTAAATGTGTTAAAAAAAAATAGTCATAGACAGAATAAACATGAAATTACTCATGTTCTTTATTTGACACTAACAAATATAATTTAATACAAGTCTTAAAACCAGGGAGTTATAGTAATATCAAGATCAGTCTCCCATAAGGAGAAAATATATATATTTCAAATATATATATATATATATATATATATATATATATATATATATATATATATATATATATATGAAATATATTTTTGCAATATATGACAATAGCCAAAATGTTATTCTTAAATGTATATTTAAAATGCATTTATTTGTGTTGCATGTCATTTTAATTAAGGTTAAAGATGTAACTAAATATACAAAGAAGGAAATGAATGATACCGACCTTCACACAAAATGAATGCCAAACTACATTTTCACAGTGTATCATTATCTACAACACTTGCTTTTGTCCTGTTAAAGGTCCATTTACCAACATTTACAGTTAAGATACTGGAGTACAAATTCACTTAAAAAGATACAAATTCCCTTCAAAAGGTTTCCAAACAGTACATAAGACAAAGTATTTTGGCAATTTCATACATTTTCAAATGTACTTCATAAATACATTTACATACATATATTTTTCTATAGTACATTTCTATGTGTACTATTTCCTCCATAAATTTTAATTTTAATGTATTTTAAAACTGCATTTTAAAATACATTTACTAATATTATTAACATAGTGAGGTAATGTAACCGTGTGTGGTGGATGAGATGAAAACTTTGGGAGGACGCAAAGGTGAGGATGCTGACACAGAGGACACCCCCCCCCCTTGAGGAGATTAACCAGGTAAGTACCACTATGCCCAACAATATAATTTCTTACCAGTGTGTATGTGTGTTCTTAAGATAGCTTAATCCAATTTAGATGCATCTCATATTACTAAAGGTGTAGAGTAGATGTAAACCTCATTGGTGATGTGTTTGGCGCCTTGACATCATCACACATGGCAATATATTCTGAAATGCATTTTTGTGTTTGAAATGTATTTTGGCGTGGATTGCAATTTATTTGAAATTCAAAAGTGATAAAGTGATGTAGTGGTGGCGGTGAAGTGACGGTCACTAATAAAAGTGGCCGCAAAGTGGCTGCTCAATGGTGGCCGCTAATAAAAGTGGCCGCGAAGTGGCCACGTCCTGCTGCCATAAGAGCCGCCACTTGCGTCCGTCAGATATCCAACTCCTACGGCAGAATTTTAGGCTTAAGATAACATAAAATCTGTGTTTCTTTACACTAAAAAGGCGTTTCCTCCACTCCACACTTTAGAACGGCTAGAAACGCCAACCAAAATACATTGTCATTACGTGCATGTTAACTACATAATCTTCAAAGTTTCATCATGGCAACGTAAACACTTGAGTTGTGACAACCAGAAAAACAGTCACCGGGCTTCTCCCAGCCTCTAGACTATCCCCATGTCTACAAGCCCGCCTGCTAGGCCCTGCCACCCTTAGCAGACGACACCTAAAAACTTGCGTTGTGACAACCAGAAAAGTGAAAGTCCCGGATTCGTTGTGCACTGTAAAACCGAACAGTACAAGTTATTAATTTGGTTGTAATAACTCAAAAATAAAAGGAATAAATAAAAATAAAAAGAAGTTAATGCTCCTCTATTTTTCTGCATAATTTGTACTAATTTGACATTTTAAGTTTACAGTGCAAACCACTAATTTATTTTTGTCATTGCACTCAAATAATTTTACAGCAATACCGCCTAACGTCCGTATGTGCTCCTTCATGTGGACACGTCCGCCATGTTTGCTCCACTCGCCTCAGGCTGGATTAGGTGGTGAAAACTGACAACAATTTCCAAGTTATAATGTGTGATATTTTCTTCTCGGAAATTCGTCGTGGGAGTGCTTGTGAAGACGTTTGAGGTGAAATGCCATGTGGAATGCAGTAATTTTCTGAACCTGCAAACTTTCTCCTGCCGACCGCCGTGACACTGATTTTCTCTTTGGGCGCGCTACTTTTTTTGTCGCTGTTACTTTTATTCTGCAAAGAGGTTAAATAATGAATCTGTTTTAAAGAGTTTGGACAAGTCCAACAAGCAAAGGTTGTGTTATTCAGCTGAGGCATTTCTTTGTTGCTCCTCATCTTTTAACATGTAACAAGTTAAAGAAATCCAATTTCAAAGATTCCTCCAATCAAATGCATTTGTTTTGGGTTGGTTTGTTTTATGAGGTCAGGGAGAGCACAGTATAGTTCACATAATGCCTGTTAAATTAGAAAGCTAACTGACTTATGTCAAATGCTTCACTGATATTTTTCTTGTTGTTTATGCAAATATTGCTGCCAAGCTAACTTTTCCATCTTTCTCTCTTAAGGCTAAAACTGATGCAGCTTGCTGATGTATGGAGTTTTCAGTCTGGTATGTTGATCGACATTTAATTTAATAGACGTTTATTTTACTAAAATGTGAATGAATATTGGCACAAAAAATCAATGGCTTGGAAGTGCAAACTTTGTGCTCCTGTCTTTAATAAAAGGGCACAGGTACTTGAACTCTGTCATTTGAATCATGGCAATGTTTCCTCTGTCAGTCCGTTGCCATGTCTCTATAACCAAACCTCTTGTGAGAGACTTTGTCAGTGCTACTGTGGAAGGTGCAGAGCTGTCCACTGCTAAGCGAAGGAAAACATTTGTAAGATGTAATTACCCTTTGGTACTGCCAGAGTAATATAGGGTAGATTCTAGCGGGCACACAGCAGAGTATGTTTGAACTACAGATGGTTCAAACGTTGTTTAAAAATACTGATCTTCTTGATAAAATTCAAGAAAGCAAACCATCATCACCTGGAACATACATGTCTCATTGAAGATGGAACATATTTCAAAGAAAATCAGTTACAGACAGGGTCTTAAAGCAGTGTTTCCAGAGTTTAAGCTCAGACCCGAGCATCATTATGTTGAACACTACCCAGAACTGACGAAGTGTTTTGGGCCTCTGGTTCACCTATGGACCATGAAGTTTGAGGGAAAACACCCTTTTTTTAACAGGGTGATACATGACGCACATAATTTCAAGAAAGTCTTGAAAACTCTTGCAACCAGACATGATGGCGTATCACCTTAATGTGCCATTATATTTCAGACCCCCAATTTGCAAATGGAATGTTTGTTTCTGCAGGCCAGGCTGGAGGAATTCCAAAATTGAATTCCAGGCTGAATTCCAGAATTCAGCAGGATTGATCGTATACTGCTTGTAAACAATTCTGTTTCCTTTCTTTGCAGAAACTACGAGTGCTGGTACAGTGAGCATCATTTGAGCTAACATCATCAGACAACTTCTTTGTACTCCAGACTTAAATGATACAGTAAGTCTCACAGCACACACTATCAATGGACATTTGCTGTTAACACAGATAAGATTTATTTTGATCAGAGACTTGGAGGATAAAAAGGCAGAAATGTAGGCCTATAGGCTGTGTTCACATTACAAGTCTGAAGTGACTCGAGTATGACCAGGGCAAATCTGATCTTTTCAAATCAGATTTGAGTCACTTTCGTATGTGGTCCCAGATCGAGTAAGTATCCGATTTGTGCCCGTTTGGCACGAATGAGAACAGTCATATTGGATTTCATGCGCCTTTTTGCCTGTACACATGCGCTTAGTGCTGTGCGGCAGTGCCAACAATAGCTGTGAAAACAGCAAAAGTATGTGATCAGGTCAGCTTCTCGACCTGATCATGTACAGTTCATGAGCTGTTTGCTGTCCTCCCACGCAAAAATGTGCGTTCGTACTAACATGTTAGTAGCTCATGTATGCGTCACCTTTTGCTCGGGAGGGCAGCAAACAGCTTATCAGTTGTACATGATCAGGCCAAGATGGCTTGTTTTGCTTGTTGTTTGTTTTTTTTTGTTTTTTTTTGCAGCACAGCATTGTCAATTCACAAATATGTTTTTGTCATAAGGGACAGATTCACATTAGAAACAGATACAGATCATTTACAGTTATGAATGTGAACTATCAAAAAAAAATCAGATTTGATCAATGAGGCTTGTAATGTGAACATAGCCATTAGTGGTGTAACGGATCACAACACTCATGGTTTGGATCGGATCACGGTTTTTGAGTTATGGATCGGATCATTTTTTGGATCAGCAAAAAAGAAAAAAGGGAGACGAATGTGAGACAGTAAGTTTAGCTTTCAATTTGGAAGTATTTTCTGTTGCTGTTTAGTTTGTAATAGTGACTGTTTTGACATGGTCTGTTTTATGTTGAGGACTTTTATTTTGCGTTGACACTGAGGGAATTATTACTGTAAAAAGTAACAGCGGCAGTAAAACTATTCCACACTGTTATGGTTAAACTTTGGTGATCCGCGGTTCACATGCATCCCAAACTGTGGAGGGTGAGCCGTATGGATCACAGATTATGTTTGATCTGTTACACCACTAATAACCATACAGGAATAGTATGGAGAATAATGGTCACACAAATTACCCTCAACTCATTAATGCATTTTCTCTTCTTTTTAACAAAAGGAAATGGCAAGTCAAAACTTCATATTTCATCTCCATACCTCCACAGACATTGTGAGGAAGATGACTCTATCTTCACGCCCAGAATCTGTGGATGAGCTCAAAACAATGATAAAAGAAAAGTTTAAGCTAGACTTTGACTTTTTATCATACCAACATCCAGACTTTGACGGGCAGCTATGTTCCCTTGTAGACATTGAGGAACTTCCACAAAAGGCTGTACTAAAAGTTATACGACCTGAGAGTGATGCCAGTTCAGTAGCATCAGATGACACAATAATATTGCCCCATGCCATGACTCCAGACAGGACTGAGTGGTGGCCTCATTTTTTTTCCAGTGCCCACTTTTTCCTACAAGGTAGAACTCATACTTGGTGAGGGAGATGTTGCATATGAGAGAACAGGAAAGATGGTCAAGTTATCTAGGAACAAAAGCATGACATCCTTGAAACCCTTGCAGGCAAGATGCATAGCTTCAAAGCATAGCCCAGTGATAAGGAAGTGTCAGTAGTAGCAGAAGCCCACTAAGCATCCCTGTCTTAAAGAGCCAGGATCCCAGACGGGATGGTATGGTTGGAAAAATAGTCTCAAGTTTAAGTTGGGGGACAATTGCAGTAAGTTGAGTTGGGCTGGGTTTCAGGAGATAGCCGTGAATTCTGGGAAGAGGAGTAGAAACAACCCAGACGAACAAGCTCGTCACACTAACATCGAGAGACCCAAGAGGGCAATAGTGAATTTCCTCCCTAATTTCCCAAGAGGGGAACGTACCAGAAGCCTTGAACAACTGAGACTGAAAATTGTAGATGAAGTTAAGAAGTGCGACACAAATATCCTGTTCTGATTACAAAGTTAATGCAGACCACCTTTGCCCTGAGATGCAAAGAGGTCATCACTGAAGACCTACCTCTTGGTGATATTCTGGAACACTGGCCTGCCCTCAAAATACAGTCACAGGTAAAAATGTTTCCCTTATTACACTTATTTGAGCAGATATATTAGCCATTTGTATCCATAGGGGACCCCCATGGATACCACAATACATGTTTTTTAATTCCTTTGTGTGGCTGTGTCATTGATAACTTTGTCAAGTTTACTCAGATTTACATCATATGAGTTAGAGTAGTGTAAGGAATCTGCATGTTTTCCACCAAATATGATCATCATAGCTCAAAAAGTTTTGTTTCACAGTATGTACTTTTTTTACAGGGCTACATACACTATACACATACACTCTGACTTAAACATTCTTTTATGTTTGTGCAGATTTGTGCAGAGTTTCACAGAATTACAAACATCAACCTGAAGAACCACTTCTATGCTGCATTGGACCGACATACCCCCGTCTTCAGAGCTTGTTCAGGATGAAAGCAAGTTGTGCAGGGAAAGTGTCCCAAGTTCTGGGACAGCTCTTCAGGATATATGATCTCCAGGTGAGTTGGTTGCACTTTCTGACAACTGATAAATATACTACAGTGGATTTTGGATTATCTTTGGTTGAATTCCATTTATAAAGACATGTTAGGGGGTCCTGAGTGGCTCAGCAAGCCATTATCTGAGGATCACCGTTTCGAATTCCAGATCATGCTGCCTTGCCATCACCAGCCTGGGCTCGAGAGAGCACAATCAGCCTTGCTCTCTCTGGGTGGGTAGATGGTGCTTTCTCTCCACATCACAACTAGTGCGTTGGTCTTTGCCACAAGGTGTCTGTTAGCTAATTCATCAGAGTTGAGCAGTTAGCACTTGCCTCCAAGTGTGTTCAGCAGCTTGGTGACACATCAGTGGCAAAAAAGGTGTGGGATGCAGTAATATTGGAATAAAAAAAAAAGACGTTGGAGTGATGCTTAGTATTGTGTGGCTGTGCTGAGTAGCGTTCACAGCAAGTAAAGAATATCTTTTCACACTGAAGGAACAAGTTGGCGTTCACGTCAGACGTGCTGCTGTCCTCCATGCTCTTCCTGCCTATCTGCATGAGGATGACTCCAGCTTTCTGAAGACGTGGAATGTAAGTGATCATGCTGTTGAGTTATTCATGGAATAGAATTAATCTGTTTTTTTGTTTTTGTTTTTTTTTTCTGCGTTGTTTCAGTGGTTCATTAAATGAAAAGTTTGCAAAAGTCTAATCTGCACTATCATCAGAAATTGATTGTGAATCTCTATTTTGTGCTGTTCCTGAACTGTATTGTGCTGTGCTAAAGAAATTACATTTAATCTACCATCATGATCATAATTAGGTATAAACATTAAGTATTCACTGTTACAGAAAATTACTGAATGAATTAAGTATTTGTTATAAACTTTAAAATATGGGGTTTATTGCAAGGTGCCAGAATTGGAGTGGTAACCTGGGAGAGTTCTGGGCAGCAGATGCTGTAATGTTTAGCACCTATTTCTGAACCTCTTGTCTTAAGGGCTGTAGATTTGATTGCACATTTTTTTCATTTAGGTACTGTTGTTTGTAAAATGACTCACTCGTTTTTGCCTCACCCCTTTTGGATTGTTTTTGCCTGCCCTTGGGTCTGCGATTTGTAACACCTAAGAATCAAATCCATATGCCTTCCACTTAGTTTCTCTCTTCTGTAATACACCATACTGGTCAGTCACATCTTCTGGTGTCCAGTCAAAGTCAAAAACCCCTCTTCCACATCTAAAATAGTCCTCTGAGCTGTCACAGATGAATCTGCATCATGCATCTTCCTCCTTCTGTTCTCTAGGTTCAAAAATCTCCTTACTACTATTCACACTAAGCTCTATTTTTAACATAGGTTTCTGAGTTATATTTACTCTTTCTTTAAAGTTCAAAGATGTCATACCAGGTGTCTGTATCACCTTTTCTTCTGGCTCTCTTGACCCTTCAACATCTCCTCTCTTCTCTACCTTCAGCAACTTACTCCTCTGTAATCTTTCTCCTAACTTCCCCCCTTGCAACATGAGCTGACTCCTTTTCCGAAGAAAAAAAGTAAGAAAGAACGAAAGGGGGAAGAAATAGGGAAAGGAACGGAAGGAGGGAGGAGAGAGAGAGAGAGAGGAGAGAGGGAGAGATAACGGAGAGGAAGAAAGGGGAGGGGGAGAAGAGGGGAGGTGGAGGAAGAGAGGAGAGGGGAGGGGAGGAGAACAAAGAGAAAGAGAGGGGAGGGGAGAGAAAGAGGGAGACAAGAGAAAAGGAGAAAACAAAAGAAGAGGTGGAGAAAAAGAGGAAAAAAAGCAGAATAAACAGGCAAAGAAACGAACTAGGACTTTCCCCTCCCGTTTTTCCTCTCTCTTCCCCACCCCCCCCCCCCCCCTCTCCACACTTTCCAAATATTTCACACCCCCTTACGCAACCACACCTACCCCCAGGTCTTTTTTGTCTATGCCAACTGTTTTCATCCTTCTCACCAGTCGCCATCGTGTGTGAAGATTATTCAGTTGCATTTTACTTATTAACAAACCCGTACTAACACGCCTCCTCATATTTTCCCCTGTCCCCGCTCCACCACAAAACTTGCTCCCCCCTCTTTCTTCTCCGCCCAATTTCCTCTCAAAATTAATAAACGGCTTCTTGGGGGTCATGGCTTAAATTATTATTAAGTTGTGGCTCTTACCTCCCATTTCCCTCTCCTCCGCTTCTCTAATTTCACTACTTCCTTATTCTTTATAGGCTCATTTCTACTAGACATTCACTCTCTAAATCTAAAAAGTCCCCCAGGAGTCCCCCCAGGTATGTTAACCACAATACGTCGTGTGTGCCCCCCCTCCCTCTCTCTTAAACTTTTACACATTATCATTTATATGTTCCTAAAGCCAGTCACACAGCTGGAGCACCACCAAGACAAGCAACTCACTCACACACACACAGTAAGGGGCGGCCAATCCCCCTCACACAGAAACACACAGCGAGCTCAGAAGACAAAGAACAACACTCAATCTGAAAGTCGACTCATTCATACTGATCCTATAGCATGCTTTTTCCTGCCGCTCCTTTTTCTCTTTTTCTTCTAAATTTATGCTACCTTTATGAGGTGTGAATATTCAATAAAAAGCTGCTTCAGACACTGTTTGTCAACTAGTGTTTGAGTGGGAACTTTATACACCTCCAGTTCCTTAGAACTGACCCAGAAATTCACCTAGTGATTTTCCAGGATTTTAGGCCCGTCTAAAACCGCCTCCCAGAGGGCTTTGGTCCTAATCTGCGGCTCCTTTTCTCTTTTAACTCATATCATCTCTATTCTCTTCCCTTTTCTTATTTCTCTTTAACTCTTATCCTTTCTATTCTCTTTAACTCTTCTCGTCTCTTCTCTATTTTCTTTAACTTCTCTTATTCTCTTTACCTCTTCTCTTTTCTATTTTCTTTCTTCTTTTTTTCCCTTAAGATAATTTCCCCCTTAATCTAATGTCCCCAGGGCCCTGGACTGTTACTTTTCACTCCTTTTTCCCCCTTTTTAACCTAATCTGACCATTTCTCTAAGCCAAAAAACCAGCGCTCACCTGAATTGCCGGCCTGGAGCGGGAATAAGTGCGCTGAGGCTGTCGGCAACGCAGCCAGCCACAACACGATCCCATCCTCGTCGCCAAATATGTTGTTTATTAAGTAGCGATGGTGTGTAGATGTTGTGAAGGACAACTCCTTTGACACTGTGCTGCTAGTAAAATGTTTATTACAAAGTAAAACAGCATCATATCAAGCACTATAAAGTACCTGAGAGAGGATCCGTGCCAATTCTAAATGTCCTCTCTCGAACAGAATATTCCAGCTGCTTATATAGTGGACTTGTTGTTGAAACAGGAGACAGAACATATGGTCCTTTTTAAAATGATCTAATCTATGTGAAACTAAGAAGAAGGGAGAAAGTGAGAGGCCTACTTCCCCAGGGGCCCCCTGGTCCAAACAGTGTTTTTACCTTCTTCTATAAAAAATGTTCCTTTTTAAATATACTTCAGTACCTTAGGTACATTGTACATTTTTTCATTTAGGTAAATAAACACAAAGTCGCAGATACTAATATTTTACATTTTTACACTTACCATGTCAGAGCCTTTTGTAGTTTTACAGTTACAGACAGCAGTCTGTGTATTGCTCTGCATACTTTGTTAGTTCCATTGTTGTCAGCACTGCAGTGACACTGATGTGGTGTTGGCGTGTTAGTGTGTAGGGTGTAGATACGAGTAGATCAGACACAGGAGTGCTGCTGTAGTTTTTAAACATTATGTCCAATCACTGGCCATAGGGTTTAAAAACTCCACCAGCACTGCTATGTCTGATTCAATCATAACAGCACAACACACGCTAACACACCACCACGTCAGTGTGACTGCAGTGCTGAGAATCATCCACCACCCAAATAATACTTGCTCTGTGGGAGTCCTGACCATTGTTGAACAGGGGCTAATAAAGAGCAATTGATGGACTACAGTGTGTAAGTGTGGAACTGCAAAGTGCTTCTCTATGGATGAAAGATGAAACTGACGGACAGGGACCCCCAGTGGGTTTCACGGTTTGTGAATAAAAATCGCTTTGCTTCCAGGCAAGAATTGCTTCTAGAAGTCAAAGCAGGTCCTTCACAATTTTATGTTATTCATGCTTGTGGACGTATTACACGCTTTTAGGTATGTTTCAGTCAAAGGTGCCTAATTTTTTGTCCAGTGAGCTTACATGTAAATAATGATGCCAGATATTTCCCTTTATTATTCAGATGGCGATCCAAACAGCACACAAGTACACTAAACACACACATTGTGAGTTCAAAACAGAGCAGTACAACTAGAAGTGTAGGTAGGCAGGTAGAGTACAGTGGTGTGTGGTTTGAATTAGATCATCCAATCAGAGGAAGCATGAAGGGATCTCATACAACACAATGTTTTGAACTGCAGAGATGTGAAGTTTTCAGAAGTTTCAGGATAAACACACTTCCACAGGACTGATGGCATTTTTGTGAGATGGGTGATTACATGGAACTTTTATCTCTAAATGTTTTAACTGCTGCTTGTAACCCTACATCAAACCCTACATCAAAAATAATCTGAATTATATTGTTACTGTGATGTGATGGAAAACACATTTGTAGAAATCACAGACCAACTGTGTGTTGCTAAATTGCTACAATTGTGAAATTATCAAATTTCATTTTGATCCTAATACCACAATTGCTGTCAAGTCTGTTTTATTTTGTTATATATTGATTGACAAATGAAGGTAATTACGTTTTTGGATTATGACTGATAGCTCTCTGTGACTGTCTCCTGATATGTCACTGGTGCATTTTGTAGCAGTCATCCTTTGGAAATTTGGAATAAGAGTTAACAGTCCTCTGTTCTTGTCTTCAGGTGATGCAGTCTGATGAACCCAGACATGAATGACATGTCAGTTGGGCTCCTCTCAATCAGTGCCAGTTCAACAGATGCCACATTGTTCTGCCCAGAGAGGATTGCAGTGCTTGAGGGTAACATTGTTATCGAACTCTCCACATGGCTGATGCATTTGTCATGCTTTTTGCACTTATGTATGCCCTGCATCTAAGTTACCCAAAAGAGTTGGCCAACACATTTGACTTTACCCAGAAAGTCTTGATGGCTCTGGAGGAGGGGAAGTTGAGGCCCAGAGTGTTGAGTCTTAAAAATGACCTTTTGGCAGTGGAGTAAACTCCGTGTATGAAAAGTTTGCTAAGGTGCTCATTCAGTTTGCACAGGCGCTTCTTTCACTTTTGAGGCATGACATAAAACAATGAATTGAGTAAAACTTATGTGTTTTGAAAGGAATATTTTCAATATAAAGTTTAATGCGTAACTGTTGAAGTGGTGTTTTTTGCGCTTTACGCATGTGGTAAACAGTAGGGCTGGAGGTGAATGTTCAAGTATTCAGAGACTCATTGGGTAGGTATTTGGTTCTTAATTTCGGGATTCTGATTTTTTTTTTTTCCTGTACTATCTACACTAAATCTAGGCTTTCAGTAAAGGTAAACTGTAAAATACATTTTGTCAGCACATTCCTGTACTATAATTTATACTTTTTAATTACACTTAAATTGTGGAATCATATAGTCTCAGCTCAGACGTACACTGACACAGCAGTGAACATGACAACTTAATGTTGGCCACAACAGAGCTGAAAATAGGCAGTGTAAACATTTTAACTACAGAAGGAAAGATAATTACCATCTAATCCCACCTCTTGCCTGACTGTGTACCATTCCATCGCTCACTTGTTTTTTATTTTGTAGTCAGCAGAGATATAGATATATATCTCCTGTTTTGAAAACGAAACTATCAGTGCTTCCTCTATTGTGGCTGTGGTGACCAGAAGCGTTATGGAGAACAATACAGGACACACTGCAAGAACAGCAGTAATATTGGTTGAGGATACAAATTCGAAACGCCCCCCAACAACTATCAAACAAATCTCCGAATATTAGCTGCTGATTTGGAACAAAGCTCCAGAGAGCAAAAAAAAGGTGTTCAGGGACAGCCCTAGTAAACAGTATGGCATATTTTTTTTTGCTGAAGTAGCCATATTTTTTTAAATTCTAAATGTTTGAAGGGTAATTATGTGCAGTTTGGTAATTTATTGAGCAGGTCTGATGGGTCTGGAGAATGGGAAGTTGGGAATTTGAGTGTCGAGACCTAAAAATGACCTGCAGAGTGGAGTAAATCTCAGTGTATGAAAAGTTTACAGAGTTGCTCATTCATTTAATTTGTACTTGCATTTCTGTCACTTTTGGGGCATGCCATAAAGCAACAAATTGAGTAAAAATGTTTTACATGTTTTATGTGTGATGTTTCGTTTAAAGTTTTAATGTGTTACTGTTCAAGTGGAACGATGGTGTTTTTGCACTGTATGGATGTGGTAAAATGTGTGACGGACATGTTGCCATACTTTTTCCACTGCAGTAGCTGTATTTCTTTATATTTGAATGATTGAAAGGTCATTTTGTACAGTGTGTTAATTCATTGTGTATAACTGTTTTGTTTTTTAAACAGGTTTGGCATCAATGTTACCTTTGTAAGGGATGAGCAAAATAGTAGTTTTTTGTCAGTCATTGAAAACAAAGAAGGCTGTGATGCTGTGGCAATTTCTGAATACTGTTACAGAAGTGATCGTTCTATTTCCTCAGGCCATTTCTCTCAGGTGCTATTTCTGAAGAATGTACTGTATTTCCAGACATTTTTTGTAGTTGATGTTTGGTTAATGTTTTATGGCAACTTAATAAAAGACTAAGTTGCATTTAAACTGTTAACATTTTTTTTTTATTTCAAAATGTGTGTAGTAATCAGTTCTGAATTAATGTTACATTTTATCAGGTTCAAAAAAGAATTTAAGCAAACTATCATGCAACTTTGAATTGAAATTACTTAATGTTTCCAGTTGCAAGGGAGTTTTCATCTTTGCTGAATGTGAACACTTTAACATACATAAAGTGAAGAATTAATACAAAGTGAAACATTTTTAGTGAGAAATTAAATGCTTTATGGTAAGGGTAATGATGTTTAGGTTATCTGTACTTGATTTTAATGAGTACTGTGAACCCAAAGTAAGTAGTAATGATGACTTAAAAAACTTAATGTTTCTTTAACTTATAAAATGTAATTAATGTCACTAAAAATGACCTAGTAGGAGCTACTTAATAAATAATGTTTCTTTAACTTAAATTAACTTATCGGATTTTACAGTGCGGCAACCACGTTTGTGACCACGTTGTAGCAACGTCAGCTAATAGTTGTCTGTTGGTAATCGGTGGGTAACCTCGATTATTGAATCTTTTAAGCGTGGGTTACTTATAGTCCTTATTTGCCCAAAGCTTTTTAAATATTTTATTTTATGAAGATCATCATCATCATCATCATCATCATCATCGTTAACCGCTTAGTCCAGATAGGGTCGCGGTAGCAGTTGGGAGAGCAGAGAATCCCAGGTGACCCTGTCCCCCGCAACTTCCTCCAGCTCATTCCCGGGGACCCCAAGCCGCTCCCAGGCCAACTTGGAGATATAATCCCTCCAGCGGGTCCTAGGACGACCCCGGGGTCTTATTCCGGTAGGCCGTGCCTGGTACACCCCCACCGGGAGGCGTCCCGGGGGCATCCGGATCAGATGCCCGAACCACCTCAGCTGGCTCCTCTCAATGCGGAGGAGTAGCGGCTCTACTCCGAGCTCCTCCCGGATGGCCGAGCTCCTCACCCTATCAAATAGAGTGTAGCCCGCCACCCTGCGAAGAAAGCTCATTTCTGCTGCTTGTATTCGCGATCTCATTCTTTCGGTCATTACCCACAGCTCATGACCATAGGTGAGGGTCGGGATGTAGACCGATCGGTAAACAGAGAGCTTCGCCTTACGGCTCAGCTCCCTCTTCACCACTACAGTCCGGTACAGCGACCGCATTACTGCTGCCGCTTGTCCCAGCCTGCGGTCGATCTCACGAGCAAAACATCGTGTACCCTGCCTGGGAGAGGGTCACCGGGACCTACCCCTGGAGCCAGGCCTGGGGGTAGCGTCCCTCGGCGAGCGCCTGGTGGCCGGGCAGCCCACGTAACCCGGCCGGGCTCAGCCCGAAGAGGCAACGTGGGGGGACCATGAGGGCCCACCACCCGCAAGGTCCAGCATGGGGGAGTGGTGCAGTGCCGTACAGGCAGTGGGAGATTGCAGGGGGGCCCTTGGTGGCCTAGGCCCCTGCGGCAGAATTTTATGAAGATTCTTGACCCAAATAGGCCCGATTAATCCAGTTAATGGTGTAGTGGTGGTTCATTTAATTATGAATCACAAAGGCTTCAGATTCATCAAAATGCAATTTCTTTATTAGGAAACACATACAGGTTAAATAATATAACAGTACAATAATTAAACAACAACAAAACAACAATAATAATAATAATAATAATAATGCTAGAAAAGCAAATAAATAAAACAAAGAGGCGTCACTGCTGTCGCAGACCAGGCTACTCCTCCAGTTCTTCCAGCACTTCTGTCATCGGTAGACAGGACTGTAAAGGAAAAAAGATGAGTCTCAATTTAATCTTAACTTGCTCTAGTTTTTCAAGTCTTCATATGATGATGCATTTGCATGTCTGCTATGCTATTGTGCTGGTGTTGAAATTAATATAGAAAACTTTAAGTAGTTTGTTGACTTGATTTATAAAGTATATTTCATCAACACAATTATTGCAAAAGGTAAGTACATTAAAATACAGAATTGTGTTGTTATAGTATATTTTGTGGACATTACATACATTCTCTAATCTAGTAAATGTATGACTTCCTCAGTCTAATTTTTATTTAAGCAGTTTTCCACACTTCATTTGTGAATGTACATTTAGGCCTACATTACAAATTACACAGTCACAATTTAGCCTTGATAGCCTCTTTCTTTAAGTGTGATATACTCAAAAGGAAAAATAGTTTTGCTCTTTTAAAGTCATTACCTTAACTTGTTTTTTCGCTTGTGCAGGTGCGTTTTAGAGTCTCAGCAATGAGAGACTCTACTTCTTTTTCTCCCAGCCCTGCTTTCCATCTAATGGCTGCCTCTGCAATTGCAGTTGCACAAAAATGACAAACATTGGAATAATTAGATTGGTTTCATTCAGGTAATTAATACCACTGTTTTGAGTAATTTAAGACAGTCCAACAAAAGGGGCAAAATGCAAGTGTTGCTCACAAAAAACCTGAACAATTATCATTGAACAATAGGTTTTTGTCTGAGCAATATCTGTGAAGAGCTAGACTCACGTTTGATCACTTTGCAGACAGTGGTGCCAATCAGGGGCAATTTCTCCCTATTCCCTTTCAAGCTGTAGTTGCCCCCGACAGCATCTGTTGCACATGTTGCACATTCCCTGGATTGGCCCCACCAGTAAGGCTGAGATGGTGAACCTGTAAAATAACAATTGTATTAGGTTAACAAAACTAGATAATTTCAGTAAACAGGCAATTCATCATTGTTAAAGAACTCATTTAGAGTTTGTTAGCAATGCAGTTGCATTGTTTGAGCAGTATTGACTGCCATTTAAAATTATAGATATTATATATTGTGTGTATTGTATAATCAATATTGATTTCATTAGCTTCTCATAATTTTTGTGTACTTTTTCTTTCAACAGGAAGCAGGTGGAGCTCACTTGTTAACAAAGCATAGGAATATATGCCATGGAGACTCTCATCTTATATCTTATCCAACATCAAACAGGTAGGTTCAGTGCTCAGTAGTGAATAAACGTATTTAACTGTTACAAATGTTTTCTTTACAGATATTTTTTCTCTACAGGTAAGTAGCTATAAACTGCGTTCCACCCCTCCTGATTTAATAATTAAAACAATCAACTATAGTATAGTATATTTATATATTTTATATTTATAGAATATGTAGCTAAACACTACTGCCTTACAAGCAGCTATCGCGACGTGAAGCTAATTTTAGCTTAGCTAGCGCGCTAATGGGGTTAACATACTTGTTCGTCTGGTTTAAAAGTAATTGTTGTGTTTTTCTTGTTGACTGTTTTATGGTGCTTTTGTATGTTAATAGTTCGTAGAGTTCATGGGGGAAAACGGGTTAGTTTGTTTATTGCTAGTGAATTTTGCCCTCTGGACCATGTTCACCATCAGCAGTGGCCTCTCCAGAAACAGGGAAGAAGAGGAAGATGGACATTTTAGAGCTACTGGAGGAGGACATGAGAAGGGAGGAAGAGAGGGAGGAAAGGAGGATGAAAGCAGCAGAGGATAGGGCCAAGCGCTACTTCTCACTATTAGAAAAACTAATTTACAAAATTAAATAAACAAATGTTAAATGAACTTAATAGTCTTATTTTTATTTATGTAATCAGAATTGCTTTTTTTTTGCAACAATAAGTTTTCAATTATTTTATATAATGCTTTGTGAGAGTCCAGGAAAACGCTAAAATATGCTGTGGGCCAATACTATCAATATTAATGTCAGTTAGTAACATCTGAAATGATCAAGTTTAAAAAGTTATTTGAGAAAGACAGGAACAAAACTAGGAAGAAGTTTGTTAACTAGGAGGATGTAGAAAGCAGCGTTCTTTGTCTGACTATGCAAATTAAAATGCAACAGACAGTAACAGATCTGGGAAAGACCAATATACGACAGTTAAATAGTTAGTTGAAAAATGTGCTTAAATAATGTTCTCTTCAGCTAACACCTGAGCACAGAGTTCCTCTCGAAGGGCATTTCCACTTGTGTCTTGGGCATCATCTTCATTTTCTGTGCTCTCATGTTCCTCAGGTGGCAGTTCGTCCCCAGCACGCAGACATATATTATGAAGGATAGCGCATGAAGCAACTACTGTTGGCACGAAGGAGGGGTGTACTTCTAAAGCCTGCAAGAAGATGGAGCGCCACCGGGTCTTCATGATTCCAAAAGCTCTCTCAATCACAGAACGAGATTTTGAATGGTACATGTTGAACACTTTCTGTTGTTCATTCCACAGTGGTCGCTTGTATGGGGTAATCAGAGCAAGGGGCCTCTCAAGACAGGGATATCCTCCATCTCCCAGAAGAAAGTGCCAGCAGAGGGGTAGAGCCCATTGCGAAAAAGGGGACTATGTTTTAGGACCCTAGCGTCGTGTACAGAACCAGGAAATCCAATGTACACATTTAGGAATCTGGCCTGGTGGTCACATACAGCCTGGAGATGTATAGATGTGAAGAGCTTCCGATTTCTGTAGCACCCAGTATCTGGCTCTCCCGAGGCTTTTATGCGGATATGACTTTTGGGCAAACCTTTCAAATCCAGCACCAATTGCCTGCTGTTCCTCTGCTGTCACTGGCACACAGATGACTTTGCTCAGGATAGCCCTCAACTCCTCTGACACTCGGTGGACAATTCTACAGACAGTGGTCCTGGGTATGCCGAATGCCCTGGACACCACCCAATACGAAGCTCCACTAGCAAGCCAGAACAAAAATACTAACACTTCAATGGTGGGTCCCCACCCATGATGGCGTTCTTGATCCAGCATCCTCAACAAGACGGCCAGGGACTCCCTGTTTAGTCGAAAATCCGGACGGGTGTCTTGCTCTGTATTAAAATACAGATTGAGGAGTGGAATGGACTGGTTCAGGGAGCAGTATCAAGTTACTGGGCCTTCATTCTGTAAAAGTAGATATATGTTTACAGCAGGAGTGTCTGATCTTAACCCTGAAGGGCCAGTGTGGGTGCAGGTTTTATTCCACAAAACAGGAGCACACATGATCAACTGTTTGAAGACAGAGACTAATTGATTAAACAGATGGAGTCAGGTGTGCTCCTACTATTGGAATGAAATCCTGCAGCCACACCGGCCTTCTTGGGAGACAACTGAGCACACCTGATTTACACTGTCTTCTTACTACAGTCTACAGTATAACTAATTAGGGTAGAGTGGGGGGAAAGGCCTCTATGCATAAAATGTGTTCTCTGCATGTTTCTCCTGAGAAGCTTCACGGGTTTGGGGCAAGAGGATTTGAGGCAAGTTATTTATTAGAAACATTATGACTGAAATGAATTAACCAGCCTCATAGTCTGTTTTATTGCCACACTTTATTTTGCAGTACTTTGTTGCAATACGGTAATCTAAAATTGAAAAAAAATTAAATACAACAAATTTCAGTCTGAGTGCTATCTTTTATCAGTGATTGATCAGTGCATGTGGGTGTTGGCAATTCAGTTTCACAAGTTGCACACAAGTCGGACACAAATATAACATACTTTATTTTTTGCATATTAGTTTATTTTGGTGACTGTGTGTGAAACATTTTTTTCCATAGGGACCTTTTGCCCAATAGGTGTCGTTTGACCTCTGTATAAGTTTATTTTAAATAAGTAATGAATGGTTATTTCTGTCTCCCTTTTTATAAACACTTAGTTTTACCTCAGTAATAGTAATAGTGTTTTCCCCATATTCTGCCATTCAACAGCCAAACTAAGCTTTAACAGGTTATTGTTTTAATTATTAAAATATCTAACGATTGTATTATTTATTGTAAATGACTACGTACACGCATTTATTACAAATAAAGTAGACCCTACTCTGTGGTGTTGGGAGATGTGTGAAATGATGTGGAGAGAGAATCTATAATCTGAATTGAGATTTACAAACTTAATTTTTACCTGTAGTATTTGTGGCAGTACGTAACGGCGCGTACGTCTCCTCCTTGTAGCGGTCCGCTTTTCTTCATATATGAATTCTTACGACAGCGTTGAAACGATAAAAATCGCGGCCCAAAATTCGGGATCCATCGTGCTCGCGAGGTAATTCTGAGGTAAGCTAGGAGGCTAACTGTAGTGACAGCGAGTAAACAGACGTCACGTGCGCAGCGCGCTAGAAGTTATGACGTATAATGACTGCCAAGGAGTGTCCCGAATGTGATTCCTGCCAAGGTTCATTTTCGGTTAAAATGCTGCCCAAGAAGAGAGCTGCCTTTAAAGGCAGTGACTAGTCAGGCAACTGCCTTCAGAATGGAACACACGAATAAATCTGGTCCACTCACACCAGCAGAACATCGACTACCATGTCACGGCCATGTCGGTGTCACTGCCGTGCGAGATCCACCACCAAAACAGTGTACAGAAAAAGAATGGACTATAATGTGGAACTACGAAGTGCATCTATATGGTAAGTTGTGGACCAATGGAGAATAAATGTGTAGATACTGGAACCGTCCATCCTCTTATAGGAAGGATGGGATTCACCCCAGCAGGCTTGGCTCACAGATTTTAAGTCACAATGTGTTTTACTCTATTCTTAACCTGAAATGACTACCTGAAATTAGAAATAATCATTCAGCTATCTCTGTAGTCATTAGCACTCAACCTAGAATTAGACATTCAGACAAGGGAATAAAGCGGAAAGGCAACTACTTTATTAACCCAGCTAATCTTATAAGTATTAAGCCATCCTTGTCACCCCTCCATCCCCAAATCACCTCACAGATCCCGAAACTAATGCTTACAACAAAACTGGGCATAATTCATTTAAACATTAGAAGACTTTGTCAGCACAGTAAATTGGATAATTTAAAAATTTTGATTTCACAAGCCAATCCTTATACTGTAGTTTTGTCAGAATCCTGGCTAAAACAATCTGTCTCTAATTCAGAACTATCTCTATCTGGATATAATCTACACAGAGCAGACAGGAATGCAAGGGGTGGCGGAGTAGCTATTAACACCAAATCTGTTGTTCAAATAAAAACTCTTCTCATTATCCAAAGATAAATGTTTTAGGTTCTTAGCCCTTAAAGTGCGTATAGGACACAATAACAGTTTTGTGGTAGCTGGCATCTATAGACCTCCTTCCGCATGCTCTCACACGGTTGATGACTTAGCTGAGCTTTTAAATTCATACATCAACTCAGAAATGCTAATCCTATGTGATTTTAACTTAAATTGGTTAACTAATGCATCCGATCACCTGAAGGAAGTGTATGGAAATCTATGTCTAACGCAACTAATTACAGAGCCAACATAACCTAACTTCCATGATCCCAGCAAGTCAACACTAATAGACTTAATTTTATCCAACAGACCTGGAAAAATTACTTCTGTTGGTGTCTTTGACCCTTGTTTCAGTGACCACTGCCCTATAGAATGCATTAGAAGCACCAGTTCAATAAAGTCAGGCTCTTGGATGGTGGTTAGAAGAAATTTTAAACATTTTAATGATCAAGCCTTTTTAAATGATCTGGCGCTAAGTGACATCCACTGCACTTCTGAAGTCCCGGATATCGATATCGGAGCGCTAGACCATTTTTGCAAAACTTTCCTGTCAGTGGTAAATAAGCATGCCCCCTATAAAAACGTGAGAATCAGAGATAGATCAAACCCCTGATTCAATTAAGAAATATCTTCCTTGCTCAATGCAAGAAATAAAGCATGGACCCTAGCTAGATGAAATGGTGACAGAGACCATTGGCTTACCTTCAGGCAGCTAAGAAATAAATGTACTTAATACATCAGAAACGCTCAAACAGAATTCTACCTCCAGATATTTACAAACGCTACAAATTCCTCTAAGTTCTGGAAGACAGTTAATTTGCTCAATAACAAATCAATGCCTATTCCAAATCATATTGTAATTAACGATCAACAGTTGACTGATCAGAGAGAGATTTGCCAAGCGCTTAATACTCACTTTGCAGCCGCTGGACATTTATCCGATAATATTAAGATGGAAGCACCTCTCAATGAAATAGATACACCCTTTGCTGTAAGACATGGTCTCTTTACAATTCACCCTTTTTCACCTCACTTAGTGGCCGAAGCACCTAACACCATCAATACTAAAAAAAAGTACAGGAGAGGACAGTTTGGACCCCTTTTTTCTAAGGCTTGCGACCCTGATTATTTTAGAACATATTACATATATTTTTAATCTATCTGTTTTATCAAGCAAAATTCCCAGTATCTGGAAAACAGCACATATAACTCCACTTTACAAAGGAGATGATGCTGCTGATCTTAATAACTATAGACCTGTCTCAAAATTGTCATGCTTAGCCAAGATCTTAGAAACCTTAGTAAATGATCAACTCAAGGCATTTCGGCATAGAAATTCAATCTGATTTTAGAGAAAAGCACAACACAATCTCTGCAGCTACTCTCATCTTAGACAATCTTTTCAGTGCCATCAATAAAAAGAAACATTGTGCAGCCATTTTCATTGACCTCTCTAAAGCCTTTGATACAGTTGATCATTCCCTGCTCTTAAAAAGTCTACAAAACATTGGTTTCGATCTCAGGGCTACTAACTGGATTAGAAACTATCTCTCCAATAGACAGCAACGTGTGGCCCTAGGACAGTATAAATCAGAGCTACTCCCAATAACAAAGGTGGTCCCTCAAGGTTCGATCCTTGGACCAGTATTATTTAATATTTATATAAATGACATTGTCACCTCAATTTTTGACTGCAAAGTACACTTATATGCTAATGACACTATCTTGTACTGTTCGAATGACTATATTGGTACTGCAGTAGATAAACTACAGCATTTAATGTCCTACAATCAGCTTTTTACCACCATAAACTAGTTTTAAATGTTGAGAAAACTAAATTTATGCTGTTTTCCAGAGCCTCTAATGTGTGCGTCGGGAGGCACATTGGCTTCTTTTTACCTATAAAGCGCTTACTGGCCATATGCCATCGTACATTACAGAAATGCTCAGTGTAAATAATGCAGATTATCAGACTCGTTCCAGTGATTGGATCACCCCTCATACTGTAAACCCGCATTTTGTCAGTTGTACATAAAACTCAGTATATCCCACATATTGCTCAACAATTTTAAGTTAAGGGAACGTTTTTTATGATTTTGTACACCCAAATTACATTCTTGAGTTGAATTAACTTTTTGCTATTTAGTTTAGTCTATTGCTATGGTAACTTTGAAACCCCATATTCAAAAAATGACGACATTTCTGTTGGTTTTAATTGTTTCTTTCTCATTAAAGTTGCTGAACAAATGTGTGAAACTGAGTGAAACTAAGTAAGCTGTGAAATACAATTACATGTTTGTTTTGTTAACACAATTTTATTAGACAAAACATATATTTCTTTCCCATTGGCTCCTGGCTCCATCTATTTGCATACTGAGTGTTTCTTTCCCTTCGTTTTACTCACCGTCAGTGTGCTTTTGTTCTACCCAGGCTGCCTTTCCTCAGGCAAATGTTACATATGTTTCACTTAGCTGCCTGGCATTGTGTTGTTGGCTACGACTGAAGGTTATCATTATCTTTGCTAATGAGTGGGCATTTGTGTTAATTATCCTTTTTATGTGTGGGACCAGGCAGTAAATCACATTTTCTTAAGAAAAATATGACTACTAACTTAGATGACTACTCCTGTACAAAAATGAAGCTGTGGATTTAGGCACTTCTTCGCACTGAAAAAGCGTTTACAGCACTCCTCAAGTGCTGGAAATGCTTCGCTGTATTGTCTTAACGTGAACTCATTATAGTGATCATAAACAGACATTTCTGCCATGAAATATACTTAATATGTGTGGGAAAAGAGAGTAAATCAAATTTTCTTACGATTACTTTAACTTGGGTGACTACACGTGTACAATCATTAAGTCATGGATTTAGGCACTTCTTCACACTGAAAAGACCTTTCCAACACTCCACAAGCCCTCAGGCGCTTTATAAACACTGGAAATGCAATGCAGTATTGGTTCGACGTGAACTCATAATGATTATGAACAGACATTTCTGCCTTGATATATCCTTTATATGTGTGGGAACAGACAGTACATAACATTTTCCGAAAAAGAATTATTACTTTAACTTGAGTGACTACACCTGTACAATGATGAAGTCGTGGATTTAGGCGCTTCTTCACACTGAAAAGGCCTTTGTAGCACTCGACAAGTGCTCAAACGCTTTGGAAAGGCTGGAAACGCTATGCAGTAATGTCTTAAAGTGAACTCATTATAATGTTTATAAGCAGAAATTTCTGCCATAAATTATCTTGTATATGCACGAGAACAGACAGTAAATCACTTTTTCTTGAGGAAAAATATGACTACTTTAATTTGGGTGACTACTCCTGTACAATAATGAAGTGGATTTAGACGCTTCTTCACACTGAAGAAACGTTTCCAGCACTCCACAAGCGCTCAGACGCTTTAGAGAGGCTAGAAATGCGATGCAGTACTCTCTTAACGTGAACTCATTATAAGGATTGTAAGCAGACATTTCAGCCATCAAATATCCTTTATTTGTAGTGGATTAGAGCGAAAGTCGTATTGACTATGACTGCTTTACATTGGTTGACTACACCTGTACAGTCATGAAGTCATGGTTTTAGGCATTTCTTCACACGGAAAAGGCGTTTCGAGAGCTCCACAAGCACTCCAGC